ATGGCTAAATTTGAGGCTGATAAGGCTAAAGAGAAGGCAAAAGCTGCAGCTGTTGAGAGAGAATTTCAAGCTAATGAGAGAGAAAGAGAGCTACTTAGGCAAGAAAGGGAACATGTTAGAGAAGAAAGGATTAGGTTGTAGATAATGCCACGTTGCATGCCGTCATTCGTTAAAAATCTGATCGAAATCTATCCTCAAAGATTGTAAATAGATTGTGACATGTGGCGCGACGTGATTGGTTACAAATTTTATCGGAAATCTATCCTCAACGATTCTGAAAACGTAACGACACACATGGCACGATGACATTGGATAAAAATCTTATCGAAATCCATCACCAATAATTGTCTTTTCAGATAATGACACTTGGCGCAACCAATAATTGTCTTTGGTTTACAGATAGAGTATCAATCAAAGGGTCTATTTGTTCATCAATCTCAATATATCAGAGAATTGTTACTTAAGATGGATATGCTCAATTGCAAACCATGTCTCACTCCCTATCATCCAAATAAAAAAACTTTTGAAAACTGGCAGTTCAGTTTATTCAGATCTCAAGACTTATAGAAGCATTGTGGGAGCTTTGCAATACTTAACTTTCACCAGGTCGGATATAGCCTATTCTATCAACCAAGTCTGTCAATTCATGCATTCACCTTTGGACTCTCACTTTGTTGCTGTTAAGAGAATTGTTAGGTATCTCAAAGGTACAATGGATTGGGGCATATGTTTTAGACCTAGTTCTCTATCTCTCAAAACTTATACTGATGCTGATTGAGTTAGGGATCCCAATGATCGTCGATCCATTACCAGTTTTGTTATTTTCTTGGGTCATAATCCTATCTCTTGGTGTTCCAAGAAACAACATACCGTTAGCAGGTCTTCTACTGAGGCAGAATATAGAGCAATGGCAACTACTACTGCAAAACTTGTTTGGTTGCAGCAACTACTCAAAGACTTGCATATTGACAGTTCTATACCCCCTTGTTGCACTGTGATAATATTTCTCCTATGTCTTTAGCAACTAACCCAGTTTTGCACTCCAAAGCAAAACACATTGAGATTGACTGCCACTTTGTAAGGGAACATGTTCAGCAAGGTTGCATTTCTTTGCAATTTATTGCATTTGTGGAACAATATGCAGACATTCTCACCAAAGGTTTATGTTCACCTTTGTTTTCTGTGCATTGCTCCAATCTTATGCTTGGTCGATCACAATATAAGCTTGAGGGGGAATGTTAGGATGTGAAGGTTTAAGTAATGACAGGTGTTTAGTGATTAGTGCGCCATGTGGTTGAAAGTCATTAGTCCAAGTCTTGAGTTAGTTATAGTTGTGTATTTATAAGACAAAGTCATTGCCTTGTAATCATTATCCAAAAATATAATGATAAGTCGTTTTTCAACAAATTCTCTCTGCTTCTCCAATATCTATGTTTCCTCCATCTTCGTTATCACTCTTCATATGACTTTGGTGAACTGCTCCTGGTTCGAGGAGCCTTATAGTCGCTTTCTAAAAAAGAAAAAAAGAAAGCATCCATGTATGTTGTAGCTCTCTTAATTTACATGGCGAACCTGGATCAACACCAGTGTGGACGTAGCCCCAACATGAATGACGTAATAGTTATTATAACAACCAGCGTACGTAACACAGTGAAAAGATAGATGCAATTCCATTCAAGGATTAAGGTTAAAAACTTAAAAGCCTTTCAAAGGACTCAATGTGATATACAATGCATTTCAATTTTGATTGGAGGAGGACAAAAAGGAAACTTAAAATTACAGGGTTGGAGCTCTTTCGATAGAGCCACCAATCACAGTCAGCAAGTTGTTGCCGAAGGGATCGCTGAGATGCTTTGATAGGTTTTCAACAGGGCCTTCTCCGGTTACATACGCTTGCAGGAAGAAACCAAGCATGGAAAACATGGCAAGTCTTCCGTTCTTAATCTCCTTTACCTTCAGCAATGCAGCCTGGTCTGGATCCTTAGCGAGCCCCAGTGGATCAAAAGGACCACCTGGGTGAAGCTTGTCCTCCAGTTCCTACAACAGTCATGAGACTGTCAATTTGTCATCCTTAATTAAATTATTATTTTGCTTAAAAGGACATCTATACCAGAAAATACGTAAGTTATATCTAGCTAAACTCATTCGGCTTCGACCTCAGGTTTACAGAATTTTCATGAGGAAAACCAAGTTCCAGTGTTTTAACTCAATGGTTATACTTGCACGTTTGGAACTATTTCTAGGCTGTAATTACCTTCTACACTAATATAGTCGGACTAACTTTCTAAAGTTGTATTACTTTTTTCAAATTAATATTCAGAATTGTTAGTTCAGAAAATAACAAACAATGATATAAGAAAATAAAATGAATTCTAGGTACGTACCAAACCATTTGTGATTCTGTAGTATTCAGCTCCACCAAGAAGAACAACCTCAGCAACAACAGCAAAGATAAGATTAATTGGTATGTTCTTACCAAAGTAATTCAATGTATTCCCGTCAAGGAGTAGAGCTCCTGTCTGCATTCATGTCCTCATCAAGTGTCATCATGTGTACAAAAAGAGTCAAGAATCTTTCGAACTTTACTCCAATTACTCTTAGCAAGTTGCAAGAATTGTAAAATTTAAAAGAAAATGAAATGCGAATGAATGACCTTGAACCAGACAGCCTCAGGGCCGCAGTTAGCGCCAAATTTGTTGAAGGCCTCTGGAATGATGAATCCGGCTGCACCAAGCATAGCCCACCGAGCGTGGATCAACTCATATGCTTGGTATCTGCATTAACATTCATCAACTTATTAAACTGAATTAAGGAGAAATTAAGTAATAATTTCCCATGAGAGAAACAGATGAGAGGATGTGCATTACTTGCTGAAGTCTTCTGGCTTCTTGCCTAGCCCAAAAGGATCATATCCATAACTGCATTAAAGGAATGGACAATCCGTGATTAGATTAGATATCTGGTAATTAATTAAGTAGCCAGAGAGAGAGAGAGAGAGAGTACTATCTTACTCTCCAGGAACTTCTCCAGTCAAGTACTCTGGGATCTCTGATCTGTCCAAGAGCCCCGATGGCAAGAAGATTCTTCTATCAGGACCTGAAATACGAATACCACCATGAACATAATTAGCTAATGAATTAATCTAATTCTAATTAGCTAGGTACATTACATTTATGTGTTTAAATCCATATGTTATCTTACATTCTTCATCAAATGTGTGACATATGTTAAAGATGAGCAAGTATATTCATTTAGATATACACTTACCATACCACTTGGCGAGCTCTTCATCAGCGGGAGCAACAGCCTTGGCCTTGGGAGGTGGCGCAGCCTTCTTCTTGGAGAAGAGTGCGACCGTCTTGAAGGTGGCTGGGGTGGTGGCTGACGGGGCCGACCTCGCTGTTCTGCTGAAGTTGCCCAGGCTGTTTCCGAGCACTTCAGACACGCTGAGGGAGGCGGCCGCTGTTGATGCTGCCAGAGAAGCCATTTGAATATCAGCTGCACTCACAACAAGTCTCAGCTACAAGTACTTGCTACGTCCTGCCCAGCCAGGACACCCTCTCTATATCTCCGTACTCAGAAGCAATGGCTGAGAAGGGATATATACTATAAGCTTGGTCTGGTGGATGTCGACCTGCCACGTTGGATTTTTGTTGTTGTCTTTGATTGGTTAGCATTGAACCTGTGCAATCCATTTCTATGATTTCATAGGATGGATTTGCTGATTTGGCAGATGATGCTGCTGACGTGGGATGCTCTTGAAATTCCATGGATAACATCTTCAATCCGAAAATGTTGATGATTGGACTCTCTTTTTCTCTCTTTCAGGTCTCAGCCAAGCATCCTTTTTCATGTTCAAAATTTTACAACAGCCAAACCCAAGGCAGACGCACTAGTGAATGCTTTCACTTTCCCTACTCGATCGTTTTTACCTACCAACACCTCTTTGACATATATTAATTGTCTGACGTGACCTTTTCTTTTCTTTTCGTTTGTTTTCTTAAAACCGGAAGGATAATGCTTGTGTCCCTTATGGGGTACGGACAAGGATTGTCTGCCCTTCTTTTTTCCATGTCCTTTCATGCCCTCCTGTTTTATGTGGTCACAGTTAAGCCACATTAACTTTTTATATTATTTTTTTTATAAAGGTAATAAGACAAAAATGAATAGTAATATAAAATATTAACGTGGCTTAACCGTGACCACACAAATAAAAGGGCATGGAAGGGTATGGAAAAAGGGAGGGCAAACAATGCTTGTCCCATGGAGTACTTGTCTCTATTTAGAATTAACATACTTTATTGTTTGAATATTCTAATTAGACCCGTTAATTCTCTTTATCATCGTCTAAAAATCATATATGCAAAAAATTATTCAATTTAAAGATCTTTTAGCCATTCATATGTATAAAACAAATAGACGGTTCGTCATAAATATACTACTTGTCACCAAAACCGTTAAATGGTTTAACGTGTGTGAATTACTAAACAATTTCTAAATTGAATAATTTTTGCAAATGGGATATTTTGATGATAATAAAGAGAACGAACAGTTTTGATTATGACAATCGGACGAAAAATGTTCGTTAATCATAAGTGGAGAGACAAGTAAGTTCCCCACGAGGAGGACACAAACATCATCCAAACGGAAATGACGAAGATGAGTTTTTTTTTTTGGAAAAACACAACAGTTTCTATTTTAATTTTTCAGCAGTTAAAATTGAATCTAAGATAAGATGTTGGATTGTTTGTCAAGGATGCTCAACGGTTTGCCAGAAAGGTTAACCATGAAGGTCCTAACAAGAATTCAGGACCAGATAAAAGCTGTATCTAGGAAGTATATGTTTTATAAATGTGAGTGTCATTGAATTGAGCTTGAACCTAGCCGCAGTACAAAACCCTTTCAAATTGTGATGACAATCAAATGGTTAACAATTTGGATCATCTTTCGCAAGAATGGCCATTCAATTAAGACTAAAAAAATAGACAGTTTCATATTACTTTAGTCTAAAGAAAGCATTGCAATTGGCACTGTTCTTGACTGTTCATTGTACCTGAATTTCACTTTATTTACGAGGCTACCACTGAGTCTCTCTGCCGCTCATTTTCACGCCGCGTGTTGATAATCGTGGGAAGGCAGGGGTGCGATGGGTCTGTAGGGTTTCGAACGGGTTGGCTGGGTTAGAGACTTTCATTTCCTTTCTTTGTGAGCTGCAGTGGGACTCGATGAGAGCATGCCGTCGGGAGAGAGAGCGAGTGAGCAAAGAGAGAATAGAGACAGGGAGGGAGAGAGATAGAGATTTGGTGAGAGGAAGGCATGCGGCTTGCAGGCAAACAGAGTCACAGGGGGTGTACGATTGGAGGGAGAGAAAGGGGTTGGTTTCGAAAGCTCTACCTTAGGGTTTAGGGTTGTTCCTGCAAGATTTCAACAGCGTTTTCCCTCTTCTCCACTATTTTCCTTCATTCCCTTTTCTCTAAACCAGAAAACTAGATTCCTCTTCTGGAGTCTCTCCCAGTGTGGAACCCCCGCCACCACCAGGCGCCACAGCTGCGTCAAAGGTTTGCGTGTTGAATTTCACATCAACGGCATCTCCCTATAACCTAGGAGCTTGGTTCGGATCGGCCGATTCCGGAGGCCCTACCATCGAGGTTAGTCTGAAGCGATTCCTATCTTATTGACTTATTGCATGTCAAAATCTGCTTCAAATTTGTGATTTAATATAATTGGGCTTTAGAAAAAATTTATGATTTTGTCTAATCCAATTGAATGATTAGAAAAATTTTCATTAAATTTTTGGGTTCCTGGGGGGTTCTGAATCGTGATGTTGAGAGAGCTTGGTTGCTTTAATTGCTAATGAAATTAGCTCCTAAACGTTCATAATTTGCCTTTTTTATGTTCATTCTATATTTTCTTTGAGTTCAGATATATTTGTGTTTTTTTTTTTTTTTGTGATATATTGCTGATGCCAAAATATCATATTTACAAGGACAAAGATAGCAAGGTTCTAAATCAAAAAAATTATCCTGGTTCTACTGCTGGGTTCACTATTAGTAAAAGGCACATGAAATATGGTATTGATTTCAGAGCCTTTGATTTCTCAGAATGTCTTCATATATCGAATGTCATATGAATTTAGTTGTAGTTAATTTGTCAAAGTTTGTTGTTGTTTAGCTTTTTCAAATGGCAGCCTTAGTATTTGCCCAGTATTATTTGTGAATTCCAAACTTTGCTTATAATTGTAGGTATGTAAAAGCTGCCAATTGGATTTGTTCCCCAGATGATAATGGCATACTAATGTAATGGTTGTTCTTTTGCTTTGATGTACGAGTAAGAAGATTGTTTTGCCCCTTATGTATCTTGCTTCTTTCTGTTCCACGAAGTTGCCAAGAAAAAAAGTACTTTGTGATCGTTTTATGGTGATGTGTAGAAAAATTTGTCTTTTTTTCTTTGTATTAGCAACCTATTACCCCTTCATGAGCATGTTCAGTTAAGAAACTTTAGATTTTTCTTCTGTTTAATTTCTCATCTGATAGTTTCAATATTAATAGAGTCCAATTAACATCCATATTGGAATGACAATCGAGAAATGCAATGACATACTTCTAATTCCATCCTCATTAAGTGTCTTGGTAACAATCAAGAATTGAATGACATGTTTCTCATTGTTTGTTTCTGTTACAGATCTACAAAGGATGATGAAAGCATTTCGTCATTGATCTTTGGAGAAACAGAGGCATGCATATAAAATATGTAATTACCCAGAACCTTTGTTTCAGTTGAAGCATGTCATCAAAGAGAGTAGTCAATTAACAGTTGCCAATTGATATTAGGTCTTAAATATAATTTTAGCTTTCATTTTTTTTTTTATAAATTAAAACTTTTTACAGAGTTTTATTTTTATGTAGATGGGTGAAATATATATATATATATATATATATTGTAATATTACTTTGATTTGCAGATATGTCATTGCAGCAATAATACATATATTTTCAATTTAAACATCCTATATATTTTCATACTGCATGTTGTCTGGGTAACCTCAAACAGATATGTCAAACATTTTTTTTCTAATTTGTTGTAGTGTTTCCATTTTTTGGTGCAGAGCTCCACGATTGGCTAGCGTGAATCTTGGTATCTTCATATGCATGCAATGTTCAGGGATCCACAGTAGTCTTGGGGTACATATATCAAAGGTATAATTTTCGGTTATGCAAAAACTTCAAATTCGTTTTTTTATTTGTATGGTACTCAATTCCATATTTTATGCGTTATGCTAATGAGTTTCGGTTCTATTTTTCCCTGCATTATTATGATGATTTGGATGCTTTTGTAGGTGAGATCTACCACTTTGGATACATGGCTCCCAGAGTAGGTTGCATATATCCAATGTAAGTACCAATGCTGTTTTACCAGCTTCTTTCCATTCTGGTAGTAAGGTCATTACTCTGTCAAGCAAGGTTGCACTGAGAGTGAGAACACCGAGGGCACACTCTCTTACCCTCACTGACCCACATTAAAAAAGAGGCACATTATGTTTGCACCCTATTTTCGCATATCTCTGTAAATTTAGCTATTTTTTATCCAGTTTTTTTTTTCGTTAAGTTTCCATCTTGCTGTTAATTTAGGTGTTTTCTATCTGTGTTGGTCCATCTACTTATACTTTTCAAATGTTGGTTCATCTTATGTTACTTATGAAATGATAATTATCGCACGAGGAGAAGCAGAGGGCATTATTGCAAATGCAGTGGAGAGTTTTGGTAATAAGCCACAAGAGGGCCTAGAAGTGAATTCAAAGAAGGTTGGCTATACAATAGATTACTCTCTCTCCCCCCCCCCCCCCCCCCCACAAACACAGATTAAATTACTATAAGTTGCCTAGTTGCAGTTGATTGGATGTATTGGTTAATCTTAATTTTAGTCCACATAAATTACTATGGCTGTGGAAATTGAACTAAAAAGTACATTTCTTTTTTAAAATTGAATTTTTTTTTCCTATATAAGACTTTTCGTTTCTCGATACTAAGTCTAAAATAGAGATTTCAGAGCAAAACATTGATCCAGTATAAGTGAGTTGTGATTTTGTAGTTTATTTATGTTTCCAGATAAATCTACGAGATTAGAAAGAGAAAAAGGGCAAAGGAAAGCTATGGTGACTCTCGGAAGATGGTTCAAGTCTCTGTTGGAGGTACATTGGATTTATGTTTATTACGTGTTTAGTACATTGTTTGGACTATAGATTTGGATTGAACTCAATGTTGTCCGTGTATATAAATATATGTGCGTAAATATATTTTTGTGTGAATATATGTGTGCATATAGATTTATACATTGTTAGGACTAATAATGTTTGTGCTGTTGGGATTTTCGATTGGGATTGGGGGCTAACAAGGACTAGGGATGTTGGATAGCATCTTAATTTATATGGGAGTTGATCTTTTCTTCTCTGTGAATCAGGATTGACGATTTCATTTTGCACAGGCCATACTGATTAAAGATGCTATGGTGTTGTCAAAGATAAACCTGACATATAAAGTTGGATATTTCAAAGTTGCATGTTTTCTGTTTAACCATTTTGTTTTTCCTACTTCTTCAGTTTCAATCTTACTTTCGACTACTACTTTTAAGATGTTGTTTTGGCTAGACTTTTGGATGAGGCCAGTCCTGCAAATATATAATTTTCTCTTCTTTTACCTAAGATAATGATTTTTTTTGTCATTCATCGCTTTGAAGAATGCATTTGATTTGCTTGAACATAATATTCTGATCTCAAACCACTTTCACAAAGCTGATTTATTATCTACACGTGTGCTATTTTTCATTTCAAATTGTGACTGCTATTTTGCTTTTCCCATTCTCATATTCCTAACAAGTGACCTCTGAAATTTATTGCCTATATCTTTTCAAAGCGCTTCAGGTATAAATTCACCTCACACTTCCTTGACAGGGGAGAATCAGACCATTGAGTGGGCTATACGACTAACAGTTGCTCTGAACATTGCCAAAGCATTAGATCACTGCAGCAGCGAATGCCGCCCATTGTACCATGATTTAAATGCATATATGGATCTCTTTGATAAGGTGTTGTCTCAAATTTCCTTTCCCAAACGAGAATTAATAAAATAGAGGACCAATTAAGTCTTTGAAAGACAAATTTCTTTGTCTACGTTGCTGAGTATTTGGAGCTTGCAACTTTCATTGGTTATTATATTTGATTGAGTTAAAGTTGGATTTCTGGATTTTGACTTTTCCATTTGTTTCTCTGTTGCAGAGTTGGCTTCATTTCAGTCCAGTAACTCTCTAAATAGGTCCAATAACTCACTAAATAGGCAAGTCAAGCAGAATTCAGCGTTGCACGCCTTTTTTGGTATGCTGTTTAAATCTGTATGTCATTTAATTCATTCTTCATGTTTAACTTTGTTCTGCAGGCTTCCTATGGCTAACTTAAGCATTTAAGTTATTCATTTGTTAAAGATGTTAGCTATTTTGGAACAGTTTGAAAGTTAATGCATGACTCGATGATGACTTTTAGCTTGCCCCACTTATCTTTCACGCTCTCACTTCATTCATGTGCTGAGTCATGGTTTAACTGTCTAAATTCAAGAACTTAAAATGGCCAGCAGGCTAAAAAGTGATTAGATTTTGAGATGCATATTTTGGTTTCTCATTATTTCTTTGTTTTGTATTTTTCATTTATTAATGTTCTTTTGGCAGCTTATTTGATTGTATTTGTGGTTTCCCGGGGACGAACAAATCCTCTCCTTAAACGTCGATTCTCAGAAGAATCACATTTCTGATGACCTCTGGGAGAGAATGATTAGTTGGAGGTTTAAGCTTTTGATAAGATACAAATTGAAACATTAATTTGTGTTTGTGTGTTTATCTCTATATATATATTATTATACATATGTGTAATCATTTGCTGCTCTACTTAATCATCATATTTTTTATTTGGGTTTCTGAAGTTCCGGGACGAGTTCGCTGCGACCAAAATTGATGCCTTACTTCGATTCCAAACTCTCCAAAGCTGCCTTCTTTATAGATCATCAAAGCAGTGCTGAAATTCTGAGAAGGTATATTTAGAAACAATTATTAAGTTTTACCAAAAATTTTGCTCATTTTTTTTTCTTCATTTTCTTATGAAATTTAGGTTTTTTGAGTAATGGGTTAGGAATTAATTCTTAATCAATAATAGGTATTGTAGTTGAGCTGCAAATGGTGTTGAAAGTATTAGATGATCTTAGTTGCGTGAGATTATTGTGTTTCTAATCCACCTAATTCATTTCAAATAGTGGCGATTCTTGGTGTACCTGAATAACCCATACTAAGTTGAATGTATATAAAAAGCCAAGCTGCTTATCTTATCGACGTCATTCACTCATGTATCCCTCTGTTCATTCATGACAATTGGTTCCCGCCGCAACGCGCGGGCTTATTATCTAGTTACTGAACTATAATTCAGAGTGGAACTCCAAACGATCCACTTTTTCTTGCCAAATATGTTCTATTGCCAAAACTATCTAGCAATATAAAATGGGCACACTGTCAAAATATGAATACGAACAAGCAATCAAGTTGATCCTTTCTTAATTGTGTGCTCTAAATTCTCAATCCAGCAAGAAAATACATGTCTTACAAGGAGATTGTCTATTGATTCAATTGATTGTCACTCCACTTTAGTTACACTTATGGTCATTTTATTTTTACACTGTATTTACACAAATATATCCCTACTAAAAACCGTAAATCCTTAATATTAAACCCATAAGTCCCCAGAACGTACTAAAACGCACCTAACACACTCAACCAGACATAACCAACCCCAAAAAGAATGTAATCAGAAGCATAAAACCTGAATACAAATTAGTACTGTAGCAACAACCCAAAAAGAATGTAATCAGAAGCATAAAACCTGAATACAAATTAGTACTGTAGCGACAATTGCCAATCTTTGTAGGCCCATTAATAAAGATTTAAAACTTTCTTTACCATAAGTTCAAAAATTCTATATCGTACATAAAAGACACAAGGCAACTCATGAAACAAGACTTCTAGAGAAGTACAAACTATAAAGCTCCATGGATCCCATAGACACAAGTAATGCAATTCACAAGTGCTTTCTTCCAATGGCGTTCAACAGAATCATAAGCATAGGTATACCTTGACGATGGAGATGCACACTACAAGTCTTAGTACTCCCCATTTCCCAAACATGCATATGTTATAACTTAGCATGTATATTATAAACCATAATCATTTTAAATCTACAATGAGAACTCAGAAAAGAAAACTCATCTTCTCCATTTGTCCATCTCTCTTGCAGTAGCTCTGACAAGTTTCTTCGTATTATCAACAAGCTCCTCAACAAGTGCACCAATATCATCCCTGATAACATGGAGGAATAATGGATACTGAATCAATATGCATGACAATTACAAAATTATCACCCGAAAATATTTAACGGCAGAAAAGTACCGTACAAAATACTTTTATTTTAGTTTAAACTATTTGAATGTTTTGCTTGGTAACTTGATTCATGGTTGAATAAATGAGGTCCTAGTAGTATCCGTCAACTAAACTAATACATCAGATTCCTTTTCAAGGTTCCATGAGTTTGTTGTAAAAGTTGCGATATGCATCAAAGAAACAGCAGCGTTCCCAGTTTCAGTTGCTGCATTGCCTAATTAATTTAATAGCGCTATTTAGCTTTGTATGTCATTTTTTATGTTTCATTTTATATGGTTTCTTTTTTACCTTTCCGAAAAATAAGGACTCCAAGAAAATGAGTGAAATTGAATTGATAAAGCGAAACACAGTAAGCATACCTAGAGGAATAATGAATAAACGAACTTACTGAGTAGGAAGATTTCGAGAAGCAGACGAAATGCCGACATTTCCACCAGGAAAAAGGTTGCCAATATTAGAGTACCTGCGATGGTCATCGTAGGCATTGCCCTTTCCAACACCGTAGCCGAATCCTAAGCCGACCCCGCATCCAGCACCAAGGCCAAAGCCAACTTGCAAGCCAGGAATCCCAGGACCAAATCCTGCGCCTGGACAAGGAATTTCCAAAATCAATAACCTATACGCCATTAAGCATAAACATGATTTTGCATAAACATAACGCAGCAACACCAACGCAAGCACGGAATGACCACTGCAGCATAATTAAGCATCGGAGTCGACCAATGTCTGAGTCCCGATATATTCGAATTTAAAACCTCTCACTTTAAAAAGTGAATGAGGAATACCACTAGATCCTAATACTAAATGGGCTTAGCTTAGCTAAGTATATGGCATTTGAAGTGGCCAAACAATTAAATTGTGCTGCACAATTAGATTCAATACCTAGGTTCCCATGTCCTACGCCTAGCTAGCAACAAGATAGAGAGTTAGATAGTTAGGTGGTGAAATTGGCAGTCAGTCAGTCTACTCCTGAATCCTAACCCTATACACAAAACTGAACTCAATTCAGCCAGAAAGAGAGTAGGGGTACCGCCGAGTAGGCCGATGCCGAAGCCCACGCCGCAGCCAACGCCGAGGCCAAAGGCGGGGCCCACCTTCCCTAGTTGCTGCGATTTGAGGACTGGAAGCTTCCACAACCAACCCTTCCCTTCTCCTCCATCATCTTCTCTGCTCCCCCAGCTGCCCATCATCCCTAATTCTCTCTCTTCCCCCTCTGATTCTGATTTCTTCCGAGTCTGACTGATCACCTCATAGGAAGAAAGGGTTTGGGCCTCTGACTAAGGAAGGCCCACGGCCCATTTCATTTCGCAAATACAAAAGAAAACAAAATTAGAAAAATGATAAACACAAGCTGGGTGTGTCCCACTGCAATATAAACAATCTTTCTTTTATTTTGATATGATTGTTCTCCCACACTTAGGGATGAATTTTTTTGCCAAATTGTCATGCCAACCAAATTGTCAACCGTAACATACCGATTTTGTGTCAAATTTTTTGTGCCAACGGTAATGGTACAGTATTGTACCGTACCGAAAGTTCGTGGTACAGTATTGGTAATAGATACCATTACCACGGTATTACCATACCGTACCGAAAATATAATATAATATATAAATTATATAAATTATATAATATATAATTATAATATAACACATATTTATAAATTATAATATATTTTCTTTGTTTGTTAAATGGTTTTCAACTTTAATTCTTCTTGCTACTAATATGTTTTCTTTGTTTGTAATGTAGGCTTGACACAAACTCAATCTTCTACAAGTTCAATGTCTCCTCCAAAAGCTTCGACATCTTAAACTTGAAGAATTGATCAATGAATTTTACCTTTTGAAGTTTAGTTTCAATTTTCCTTTGGTATGAAATTTTAACTTCTATTTGGATTGTTAACTTCTATTTGTTTTGGTTTGTAACTTCTATTTGAATTGTAAGCTTAATTTTCATTATGAATCTTGATGCATCATTTGAATTATTGTGTGTGTGAATTGTGAATGATGAATAATAGATGAATTTAGGCTACAATTTATAAGATATCAACAGTTAAGGTGAGGTTTAAGTTAAAGAGGTGAGTCTTGTGGTAGTGATGCTTTATGCTTCTGTTGAATAATCAACCGGTATTGCTAAGGTGAGGAATTTAGGCTACGCATTGTCTTGTAGACCTATAGTACTACTTTATGTTTCCATTCTTTGTTTCAGGCTTATAATTTTCAAGTAATTCATCAACGTTTCATGCGGCTGTAAATCCATTTAAAGGTGTAAATCCGAAATCCATTTGGGCACTTGTTATGAGAATTTTCTTCTATCTATCCATTTGATTTATATATCTTTGTCTTATTACAAAGGCACAAAATATGAAATGTTGAACAAAGCAAAAACAGATTTTGTCTCAAAATACAGTGGCAATTACCATTGTCATACCATGCCAACCGAACACTTGGCAATACCGAACTTCGGTATACCGAAAGTTTGGTATGGTAATGGTAATATATTTTAGCAAACCAAAAGTTTGGTAAGGTAATTGGTACGAGGATTTTGGTACGGTAACCGTACCGAACCTACCCCTACCCACACCACCCCAACTGCCACCGCCACTATCAGCCATTGCCGCCAATCCATTCAGCCAGCCGGAATAAAGTAAGGGCAGAGGGTAGTAGCACAAGAAGGCAGAAGAAGCAGCAGCATGAGTAATAGTAGTTTGTCGGCAATTGCAAATGCAAACCCCCGGCGGCAGCGGAGAGTGAAGCGACTGAATTTGAACAAGAAGTACTGCTACAATAGCAGCAGCATTTCGTACTCCTCTCCTCCTTCACGGGGTACCGCCTGCGAATGAGAATGGGAAAGAGAGCGCGTATGTCCATGGCTTCCAGTTGCCTTCATCACGAGCAAGAGGACCATCTGCTCTCCTTGTTGCAGGTCTCCCACTCCCTCTAAAATATTCTCTTTTTATTTTAATTAATTCAAGCTACTCATTCAAGTCTGAATATTTTGTTTGCAGATTCTTCTGCGAGATTTGCATGACAGTTTGCTCAATCATGTTGGCAATATCCACATCAAAGTGCCATGTCATCAAGAGTTTGTTGAAAGGTTGTTAGATTGATAGAGTTGGTTATTTCTGTTATGTTGGTTATATATGTTAGCTTTGGAGCTAAGCTTTGTACTCTATATAACTGAGTGGTGAATTATATTGTAATTCATTCAAGTCTTTTGATAATAAAGATCATTTCATTTCTTCTCTGTTGGCTCTCTAGCTCTTCATCTTCTCAATTCTTCACTGCTCTTTAATTTTTCCAATGTAGTTAATATGGTATCAGAGCCACTAGGCTTACGCCATGGATTCTGGTGGTTCCACTTCCCACTATTTTTCATGTGTTTCTAGCTTTAGTTTCTTTCCAAATTTTCATTAGATGTTTCGATAAATTTCTGGGTGCTTCCGCGATCATTCTACTACTTTTGGGTTGTTTTGTTTCTGGGTTTCTTGTTCATTGGGATTTGCTGCTCTTACATCCTCAAATCAAATTTTCTTTCCCTTGCGGTTTCTCCTACACCGGAAGCAGGTGTATTCTCATGAGTTAGTGGTGCCGGCTCGCTAGATTCAATGTTTTCCTCATAATCTTCTGCTGCTTCGCTGGGATCTGGGTTTTTCCTCAGAATTTGGTGCTGCTTCACCATAATCTTGTGATTCTTGTTTGCTGGAACCTGGAATTTGTGTCTTCTTTCTCTCTAACGAGTTATTGCCTATCACGTGTTCGATCTTATGCGTCAATGAAATTTCAGCAAAGGAGGCTGACTTGGCCTAAGACGGCGGCTTGGATCGGGAATGGTGGTGATAAGGCGATGTTGACGTTGATGTCGATATAGCTGTTGAATGGTCGGATTGGGTTTCAATGGAAGATAGCAGTTTCGGGATCAAATGATTTATGGGTTTTAATTCTAAGTGCAAGATTTCTGGGTTTAATTAAGAGATTGTGGAAAAAAGTTTCGGTTTTTTTGGGTTTTGAGTTTGGGTTGCTTCTTGGTTCTTGAAAATGGCAATGGGGTGATTGAGCTCTCTCGCTCAGATGAGATCTCTCGGTGGTCTACCTGTAGTGGATAATCTTGAGGAAGAGTGCATCAATCTTTTCTTGCTCATTGAAGCAAGTTTTTTTTTTATTCTCACGGGCAGCTTCCTGGAGGATCTTATTTCCATTGACATATGCAATTGCATGCTGATGGCCACTTTCATTGGCAAGATCAGGATCAAAAGATTTTGGTATGGTTCTCTGGTTCTTCCTTCCATAATGTTTCACTGAACTTGCTCTCAGAATATCATCTTCCTTCGTTCTCCTTACCGGAATAGTATCTTCCTTCGTTCTCTTAAATTCATGAAAGATTTAATGACAGAATGTGTCTGTGTTACTCAATTAGTTTGTTGCATGAAGTCAAGTTTCTTGTGAGTTTTTCTGGCTTCTTCAAGTTGTGTCTGATATTTGGGTTCAAGATTGTTGCTCCAGATTGTTATTGAAATTCTGGGTTTGATGTTTCTACAAATCTTGATATGTTTGGAGAAATGGGTATGGATTCTTGGGTTTGATTGCTACTGATATCTTTAGGGTGTTCATTGTCGAATTACTCAGGAAGTTTTGCAGCATCTAATTCTTGTCTCTCTGCTTCACTTATTTTATGCAATTCTGTTGAGGAGTTTGTGCAGTATGTTTTCTTATCTCAGCCTATAATGTTGAGTCTAACCAACTCAATTGTTAGCATGTATCTACTTTAAGTCCGGTTATACAATGAAGTTTGAAGAAGTTGTTAACATTAAATCTCACGAAGGGTAATTCTGTGATGTGAATAGGTACAACCCACGAAGGGTAGAAGAATTTGTTGACGGTAAATCCCACGAAGGGTAATTCCGTAATGTGAATAGGTAAAACCCACGAAGGGTAGAAGAATTTGTTGACGGTAAATCCCACGAAGGATAATTCCGTGATGTGAGTAGATAAATCCCACGAAGGGTAATCCTACATAGATGTTGATTTTCTGTTGTTGAAATTGTGAAGGCCAATGCCATTGTTCAAAGAAGTTGTTTTTGGTAAAATTTGATAGGATTTTTACCACCTGCAAAAGTAGGAAGAAAAACACTTAAAATACTTGCGAAAGTATAAGGTTGTTGTAGTATAGCAGCTCAAGCAAGGTCGTTTCCACAGAGATTGAATGAATAATTTTTGTAAATACCGAATCTTAATTAATTATTTGAAAACAAAGACTGGAAAATGTTGATTTTAGAATTTAATATAATAAAAACGAATTTTAAAATAAAACAATTAAAGAAATTAACTAGAGAACAATTTAAAGAAAATCAATTTGTAAAAGCCTAGGGTTCCGCCGTCCCCATAACAATCCTATGCAATTTTACCAATTACTTATTAATTTCTACATACATGCTTTAAATGTTAGGTTTTCCTAATGCATATTTTCCTCATGATGTTCAAGTGAAAACGTATATCTAACATGCAACCCGTCTGTGATGTTCAGATCAAATATAAACATGTAAGACTCATTAAGTTTTGTGAAAACCCTTTGAAAAACCATGCAACCCTTAAGAGCGTGATGTTCGCCTTAAGTGAACTTACAATTACTAATCACAAGAAGCCCTCCTCAATTTCAGGGTGATTTTCCAATAGAAATTGCATCAAATTACTTGTCTAAATATCCTAATGGTGGCCAATCATCAAGACAATTAAATAGTTTAAAATGGTGATTAATAATTTAAAGTGTGCATGCAATCAATCATAAGCAATTGAATAAAAATTACATATTCATGCTAAGATTCATGGCTTCGCCCTAGCAAAAGAACTAGTTACGAACAATCATAATAAAATATTATTAAGAACAAGGATAGAAAACACTTTGAAAATAAACTTGAATTGTCAAAGGCTTGTGCGTTTCCTCCTATGTTGCCTCATGGCTAAAAGCCTAATTTATACTACTCCAAATTAAAACCCTCCTAGAAAAGGCTTTCTAAAAACTAGGAAATAAAATAACAAAAGGATAACTAGAAATTACATTTCTATTCTGATTAGGAAATCAGCCCAGCAAAGAAATAGCCACGTTTCTGAACATTCAGAGCTCCAAAACAGGCCAAAAACGACTCAAACTAAGGATTAGGACCTCCTCTTCAAGTTCCAAGGAGAGCCCAAATCCAAAATCCATTATCTTTCAGCCCAAAAGGCGCAAATA